CCCCCCCCCCCCCCGCCCAATATTCAAGCTCCTTTGCGGCCCATTTGGTGGTGGTCACTGGAACTCGTCCTCCATGTTGCCTGCACTGTTGCGGCGGATCACATCACTGCTAGCAACTCCCCTCCCCCCCATGGGACCACAGCCTATGGACTTCTCGGACTAGTAGACCCATAGAGCTTAAAAGTGAGAGTAGGATGCGGTTTTGGTTGCAGGATCTGAGCAATTTGTCTCGGTTTGCGGGCTACGCATTTGCACCTGGGTGTCTCTTCACTCGTCGAGTATCGTAATTAAGATGGTTAGTTTTCTGGGACGGATAAACCTGGGTTTCTCCTTCAAAGTGAGCCTAGCATGAGGTAGCTTGAGTTTATATATGAGCAGTGGCTGCTTGAACTGCGACCGAATTCGAATGTCGATGCAAGACTTTTAGAGAGGACATTGGCAATTACGCGTTTGATTGGCTGCAGTTTGAGCTTTCGATTACTTGGGTTTGTGGTGGCAGAGGGAAATAGAGTGTGAGGCTGTTAGGGAACCAACCCTGGACGTCGAGCGTGGTGAGGGCTTCGTTCGTTTCGATGTTTGTGAAAGTATTGTTGGTTTGAGTTCGTTTTGGAATTTTAAGCATAGGTCGTGGCGAGGAGAAGATGTTGGCATCAATCAATGTGTGGTGTTCGTTGTTTTGTTGTTCACAGTGTGTGGTGTTCATTGTTTAGTTGTTGACAGTGAGAGCATCCAATTTCCAAGTGAACGGGGTGGTTTGCTTGCGCGATTGGGAAGATTGTTGTGTAGTTTCGCAATAACCAAGGCAGGGGGGGGAATGACGAGTATGGCTTCGAGGGAAGAGAAAGGAATTACGAAGAGGAGGCAGGGGGGGAATGACGAGTATGGCTTCGAGGGAAGAGAAAGGAATTACGAAGAGGAGGCAGGGGGGGGGATGACGAGTATGGCTTCGAGGGAAGAGAAAGGAATTACGAAGAGGAGGCAGGCGGGCCAAGGGGTGCATTTCAGAGGCGTGAGGAAACGACTCTGGGGTCGGTTTGCAGCTGAGATCCGGGACCCATGGAAGAAGACGCGCGTGTGGCTGGGAACCTTTGATACCGCGGAGGAAGCCGCAAGAGCGTATGATAGCGGTAGGCATCTTCCTCGTTTGCATCCTGTCATCATAATCCACACGCTTCTTTGACGCCCAATTCACGTTCATTTTGTTGGGTTTTGTGTTATCTGAGAGCATTTGGAAACTTCGCCTGCAGCTGCGAGAGCATTGCGAGGCTCCAAAGCGAAGACTAACTTTGCCTGCGCGCCTTCCAGCGATGACCAGAGCACGAATCTGAACTTTACCCTGAAGTCGTGGTCCACGCCTCCGAAAAACCACAAACTACGCCACCTTCATCATCAACACCCAAAAATCCTGAATGATAATCCCAATTGTGGATCCACTGCTGTCTCCGACACAACCTCATGGCACTTCTGCGTGGACCTCAACCTCTCGGCCAGAGCGATGCCACACGATCACCATCTCCAGGCTCACAAGATGGCTCAGGATCTGAACCAAAACACCAATGCTGATTTCTACGGCGTCTCGCCTGGTGATGTTGCTGAGGTCGTGAAATCCAGCAAGCGTCCCCCGTCAACACCAATCCAAACACTCTTCCAACAATCTTCCAGCAGAGTGGAGAAGTCCCTGACTCTTTCAGTGCCAGCCCTCAAAGTCTCGTCCACCCAATGGTCGCCGGGTAATCGCAAAGTTCATCACCACGGTTTCATAGCCATAGAACCTGCCGTCATGCCGGAGACGACCAGCTCCACTAGTGACTGCGATTCCTCGTCCTCCGTGTTTCTGAACTCCGACAACCCTGAGACGAAGCCTCGCGCACTGCAAGAAGCCTCCCCCTTTTTGATAGACTTGAACTTTCCCCCTTGCCTCGACAAGCAACCACCTATAACCGACGTCGCCAAATTTGGTTTGCCTCAGCCACGGATTGCAGCTCTTTTTTGAGTTCTGTTGCCGCTTCTGGAAGAATTCTTAGGGATTATCCTCATAACCTAGCTCCTGCTGCGGCACACACTACAATTCAGGATCGATCGGTCATTTAGGATTACTCGTTACAGGCTTCGAAAATTGATGAACAATTTGCGCCATTAATAATCACACGTGAAGATCCATGGCTTGTGATGCTGTCGCCCTTGCCAAGTCCCTGTCTCTTTTGTATGTCGCGAGATTGAGCTCTCGTTTTTTTTTCTTTCTTCTGGTGCTCAACAATTGGCAATACTATGTTGTCTACACTGTATGCAGGAATTTCCATCTTCTAGTGAAAGGCGTGACGTATTGAATGCTCTCATCCATTGAAATGGACGCTGTAATTGCGTTACCAGTTGTCATTGGTGATTCTCAGCATACTCTCTACTCTCTTGTGTTGGTGATAAGTTCTATGCAGACTGTGGCGATTGCTTTCCAATCTTCCTAGCCATGGCAGGAACGTCTCTTGTACGGTTGTTGTCCACAAACCTTTTGACCAACATTAGAGTGGATCTCGGAGACGTTGGATTCAACGTATGCAGGGTCTCCTCGTCTTTGGTCGCAAGTGTGGAGCATTGGGTGCAATTCGTCTAGAAATTAAAACCTACATTCTTAATGAGTCTCTACGCTTCTCTCGGCCAAAAGTGCAGATTGCATCGCGAAGCTCTGCACTTATATTTTATGTCACAGCGGGAATGTCGAATATGTTCACAAGATTTATCTCATCTTTAAGCGAGTTCCAGAGAGACGAACAATCAAAACTGCAGCAAACGACAGTTGCGCATTCGCGTCTCCTGGTTCAGAATCTATGGTTGCAGGTTTGATACGTTGCCAGCAACAATTCATGTAAGTTAGTGTGTTGATGGGCGTTACGTTGTTGTTCCGTTGTGTTGGTGGTCATATTCTCAGGCAGAGTCTGTGGGCTCAAGCAGGGCGAGTATTGAAGAGCGCGTGACAAATGTGGCTCCTCCAGAAGGGCACTCTCTCGCTTGATTTCCCATCAAGCAATTGTGCACGGCGGGGCATGAACACCGATGAGCAGCATTTGTGTGCTTTCGGTTGTCAGAGTGCAGTACCGCATTGCGCATACAGCAGCCCATTCAATGAATTGATGATCCGCAGCGAAACCGAAACTGGCACAGCTTGACAGACTTTTCCATGTGAAGAAGTGCTGAGCCATTTGCTTTTGCAAAACTCTCCCACTTTGTACTATTTCTAATCCCAAGCCTACACTCATTTTCGAAAACTGGATTGAGCTGAGAGAGCTTCAAATCTATGCACAACAAAACAAAGTCATTCTAAGACCCAGCTCATTCAGTGAGTGATTCATGCATGGCGTTAGTTTTGAGAATGAAAGAGTTGGGGCCTGATTAAGAGTGTTTGTTTGATAGCGTCTTTATTTTTGTTTTAGTTTTTTTAGTTTTTATCTATTTTTTGTTTGTAATCATGAAAGGAAGCTGATTTGATGATAAGTATTTAGAGCATCTTTACCAGGCCATGCTACAGGATCTGATTCTAGAACTGGGGCATGCTTTACATGAGAATATTGTCTCACAAATGGCCCACCTGGTTACAAATTTGGTAAAATGGGTTTGTGAGATGTTTGCTAAATTTGATCTTTCAATCATCACTCTTACCTTGCAATTAATACTTATTAAGCAAAGTGGGTCTGTACATTAGTATTTGATATTATTTTTGAGAACTCGTGATATATGTTTGCATTCAAGAGAATATTAATCTTTTCAGAAGTTATTTGATAGCATTGAAAAGTCTTTTTTGGTGCACAGATAACAATTTGTACAAAATTAATAAGTATTTTCATATAACTTATCAATGTTACTATTATTCATTTTATATTAAAATTCACGATATCATAATTTAATGAAATTATTCTTCTAAAATATATTAAAATAATATATTAAAATAAAAATTGTGTTTTTCTATTATTTTTAGCATTAATAAAACTATGTGTTAAAAATAGTTTTAAATACATGAATATCCATGCAAGAAATCTCTTAGTGCTTACATGATTTAAATGCTTCAATTGAAGGACTATTGGAGCTATATTTTTACAAGTATAGTTGTTGGTATTTTAAGCTCTTTCAAATTACCATTGATGTATTTGCATCCATCCTCTTGAAGTTCTAACCTAATTACTTTTGAATGTTTTAAAATAAAATAACTTTGTATAACTAACTTATAATTCTTAAAAAAATTAAATTGAAGAGTAGATTTTAAAGTGATTTCTAAATGCTTATGTATATCTTCATTATGTTTTTTCTTTGCATGATTCAGAATATAATTGGCCAAGATTTTACATCACTATTATTAACTTTTTCAAAAGTGATTTATGATTCACTTAGAAACTATAAAATAAAAAAATTAAACAAACTAACTGTCTTTTTAAGAAATATTTGAAAAAAAAGAAAGTTTTTTTATTTTATTTTAAAATTAGCACTGATAATAAATTTATGTAAATATCATTTGATAATTAAATATTTTTTTTCACTAATAGTGTACTCAACTAAATAGTTTTTTTGACTCTTAGATTGGCTAAAAAAAATACTAAATTAAATATAAAAAAATATCCAATGCAATGATTAAGAATTTATATTTATATTAAAAAGTAAATAAAGAATTAAACTTGCTAATTGTTAATTAGATGTTAATTACAAAAATAAGAAAAAAAAGAAAAACATATATAATTTAAGTAATTATATATTAGAATATTAACTTTGTCTTCTTAATGATGTTTAGACCAGTTTTTTTAAATCACTAATAAAAAAATGAGTAAAAATATTCAAATTAAAAAATTAAAAGAAAAAGAGAATTAGAAGTTCTTACACTTGAATATAAAAGTATATTCTAATTAATGGTAACAACCCACATTACAACTTCTTTTTAAACACTTTTGCAATATATATATATATATATATATATATATATAATTTTATAAAAATAAAAATTATTTTAAAGTGCAATATCAATAATAATAAAAATTTAAAGAATAATTAGAAGATTAATATATTTTTCAATTTTTTTATTTTTCTTTTCTGAAATGTATGTTTAATTATTTTTAAGTTACCAAATGACTATAGCCAGTGTTTGTATGTATTTTTTTAGGTGTTTGTAATACATAAACAAGCATGAGCTAATGCAAAATTTAAAAAGTTGTCACTTTTGAGTTAAAAACAGTTCTTGTTAGGATAATTATACCAATACAAATAGCATTGATTTACAACTAAGAATAAAGAATATAATCACTTTCACTTAGACCTCTATGTTTATATATATATATATATATATAATTTGTATCTTTCAAAACATGAGTTTTCAAATGTAGTTATGAATGACGGATTTTTTGGTAGAAACCTTTACCATGAGTACAGAATGATGCCATTTGGCTAGTAGTAAAATCAAAATAAGAAAAGAACTAATAAGTATTTTTATTCAACTTAGAACTGATCAAATGATCTCTACATTTCTATTTTTATTCAGCGCATTCATGCTCTCAATAATTTCAAAACAAAACAATACAATATAAAAAAAGGAAATCCACATCAAAATGATTTGTAAAAATGATTTGTATCTCAAAATGATTTTTAAAAAAGGACTATCTAGCAATAAAAGAAGAAACTATACTGCATGAGGTCCAGACACAAAGAAAAAGCACACGATTTCCACTTAAAATGGAGCTTGTGCCCTGCATGGACGCTCCGCCGCAGCGCTGCTTTGCAAAGGTCCTAGTTCCAGGGCTTCTCGCTGTTGCTGCCGCAAATTGAAGTTTCAAGGAGCCGCTTCCTGTGCATGAATGAGCCAAGCTGGAATAGTATCTTTGACACAAGCTCTGAGAGCTCATCTGTGGGACCCCAAAGTTCTCCGACTCGGTGAGAGCTTGATTGGAGTATCCATGCTGAGAAGCTCATATCTTGCTTCGTCAGCCACATTGGAATGGGCATTATTAGAAGACCAAGATCTTCACGAGCAGGAGTGGGCCACTAGATCGCGCAATAAAATAAACTTTCTTTCGGGAAGCCCAAATCGCTAAGAATAGTCGCTAGCGAATTTTCGTAGCCCGAGATCGATGTCATGCAGAGGGAAAGAGACTTACGCACGTCGATTTCGAGGGCCGATTTTCGAGGTTTCCAGTTCAGAAATCCTCTTGTGTAGCTCCAACAACTGTCTGGAATCTGGCTTTGACGATCGTGATTGAACTAGTTGTGCTGTGATGATTCCCCCATGCTTGTCACCACCGCGGCCACTGAGATGACATCAGAACATGCAGAGATTCTTCCACTTCTCCGACCATAGATAATGTTACAATCGCTCCAGAGATACTCGAATTTTCTACCCGAACCTTGTCTACAATATCGATGTGTTTATCGTGAAGCGAACATCGGAGGTCAGGTGCACAAGAGTCCCCTTTCGAGAAAACAGCAAACAAAGCACAACACACAATTGCCCTGATATGCCCGAAGAGATGCTGAGTTCTCTTGCATCCACAAAGAGCAAACTGAATTTTATTGTGAGATTTGGCATGGTCACCAAAATTCAAGCAGTCAAGGTAAATAGGTTAATTTCTCACAAGTTGTGAAGACAATAATCTCAACCTCTTCATCCTGAAACCATACCCAGGTCTTCCTACACTAAATCTTGTGTGCACTACTGTCGACGATTAAATGAAGAGCTACATGAGAGAATTGTTTCCACATTAAACTACTCTTCAGCATCGGTCAAAAGAAGGGAAGTTTCGCAAACTCTTGGAACCTTTTGGGGCCTCCATCTGTCCCTCTACTGCGATACGAAGCGAAGCGTGAGGTTACTCGGTGATGCCCAGGAAAGTTTCACCATGTTGACAACCTGTCAAGTGCACTTCGATAGAATCTGTGCTCCAGTCCTTCACTTGGCAGCACGATCTTCGGGGCGCCTGTTTGGACAAGAGCCCACGCAAAGCTTTAGTACCCAAATGAAAGCTAAGTGAAAAAAATTATACTTCGACCTGGAAAATGTTTCTCTTTCATGTGGTCAAAACATAATTTATTAAATGCGAGTAGCGAAGTGCTTGTGCCTACTTAAAATCATGTAGTGTACCCATTTAATAAGGTTATACTACTGATGGAACTGTGCCGAGAAGTTGATTACCTCAAACCACGAGTCCTTCGTTGGCTCCTTCAAGACCCGGATCCTGTGGACCGAGGTCAGAGGTCGCAATTTCTCGGCACACTTTCCTTGTCTTTTCAAATCGTTCGTCTTCCTATATATGCTTTCAATCAAGCCATCAATTCTTGCACTGGAGCCATTGACCGACTGCATGTAGTACAGCGAGGGTCGCATGCACAACCCCTGGGGAACCGGGCGAGTGTTGAACGAAAAGTCGACGTCGGCGTTCTTCCGGCGGATCGTGTTGAATGTCCGCAAGGGTGTCTCCAGGTCTTTTGGGGTCAGAAAGCCTTTGTAGACTTGCACCACGTAACCCCATGAGATGGATATTGACCAATTCCCATGATCTGCGTAACAGATTGATTGTTGCAGAAGGCTGTAGGGTTCAACCTCCGCAGCTTTGAGTAAATGATCCATGGCTTCTAGTCTTGTGCGGTTGGGGAAGATGGGGTAGAAAAGGTCCATGTGGTGTATGCTCACTAGAGGAGTCTGAGGATGCGTCGCTAGTAACCCCGTGGGATCTCCTTGGATGTCCATCTGTAGGCCGATCTCTTCGATCAGCTCGAGCTTGACTCGTAACAAACGCATGCAATTTACATGAATTTGTGAGAACCCTCGTGAATATCAGGATCATTGAGAAATCAGCCGCACCTGGTGAAAGCCGCTCTCTTTGGTGAGGGACACTCCGAGCTCTGACATGCACGCGAACACGCGGTCATCGCTACCATACAAATGCGGGTATCTGTCGTATCCCACTCCACGGGTGATTGTTAGAAACTGCCAAATTATATGTTTATGAGCAGAGAACATACTCCACTATCAGTATCCCTGTTTTCAATACGAACAGAACTAGCAAAACTTGCAAAAAAACCCAAGTTGGGAGTGTAAAAGAAGAAAGCTTAAAAAGCTCATTCTCTGTGAAAGATTAACGTCCAAATGAAGTTTTTTGAGCCAACAGATTGATTGGATCCCTTGCCTCAGTAGGCAGGAGTCTTGCATGGGGGCGAGCTCCATGGCCAATCCGTAACTGATGGCAAATCCTCCGCCACCAAATGCCTGTTTGAAGGAGAAGAAGACGTTCTGCGAGTGGGTCTCGGAGTTGCTTCCGATGTAATACATCTTCCTGTGGTCGTATTTGGAGAGCACTTTCACCAGATTCATGGGGAAGAAAAACGTGTCGTCGTCGCCCATCACGAACCAGTCCACGTCCGGCAGCTCTAACCTGAAAGTTTCAGAAACAATTCTCGCAAGTCGAACCGCGGATCTCCTCCCTCCCTTGAAAGTGTATGAAAATCTCGAAGTATCACCCGAAACTTTGAAAGGAGGAGCGTCCGGCTCCCACGTCTCATTCACCTGCTTGTCAAGCCATATAATTGCTCGTACGCCTTCAGCTGAGTTATACCACTTCTTGACATATTCCTTCCTTTTAGGCCAATTCTTCGCAGCCCCTGCAATCGCAAACACCACTCGAGAAAGAGCTGCTCCCTCCTTTGGTTGAGCCTGGGTACGTTTCACAGTCTCCATCTGGGTCCGATTCAGATCTTTGGTAGAGGAAGCGAACAACGACTGCTCAACCGTGAAAATATTGGTATCGCATTGGGTGACCGAAGATGAAAAGTTGTGCACGGTTGAGAACTTGTGCCTACTCAGTACCACGGAATGCAACAAATATACACAGGAACATCCGCAGCTGAGGATTATGACGAAGCTGATCCAGGAGAAGCTCGATTCGAAGGAGATGAATCTCCCGGACATTGACCGCCTCATTGAATTCGACTTGTTGATCGTGGCCATCATGGCGACTAATTTTTCACCTCTCCTTTGGGTGCTTTACGACGTCCAATTCCAGTTCAGCATAAATCTGGATCTGCGTCTGTAAGCACTAGCAACTTCAATAACTCGTGTCTGTCCTGCATTTAGAATTCTTCACCCCAATCAAATCTCAGATTTGCACTGTGACATGAGCTCGCTTGAAGCATCAACTTACATCATCGCCAGAGAATCACTCTTCGACCACGATGCAGCCAAGGTTAGTGGAGGAGAGCAAGAGCTCATTTTCACCGCGACCGAAAAACCTCGTACTCGCTATTCCCGAATTCCCTACGAACACAATCACGAGCTCGGAGTGAAGAAAAGGGTTATGTCAAAGTGTCATCACTGCTAAGTTCTACTCCTGTTGCGGTGGATTCAGGCGGAGGGAGAAAGAATGCAAGAAGGTTTTGGTTACTTGGGTGATCGAGATTTTAGAAAATGATGGGATTTACTTGTTCGCTGCAGATAATCATCATGCGGCATGAAAGTGAACCAATTACAAAAGATGAGTGGGGAGAAAACAGAACAGCTCAGTAATCTCAAAAAGATTACACCTCTCTGACAACGAATGTAGGAACTGATCGTATGAAGTAGCCTTTTTCGGGAGGTGATTGCGGAACCTTTACAAGCTTTCAAATTGATCCACGGAGCTCGTCGACTGTCATTCATCATCTAGTGCAGCACGTCCAGCTGAGGAACCCTCGGAAAACAAACGAAACGCGGCCAACATTCTTTCCAGAATGCGGAGAAACCTCAAACCCGTTAGACTTAGCTACTGAAAAGTGCTAAAAAATTACAAAAGTTCAGCAACTGAAACTCCATCACCGAGACCAACTTCACGCAAGAGCTGCGACCGCGGATATCGAGCCCTTTCGATTCGCTTCGCACCCTAAAGCAAGTCAACAAAGCCTTCGAAGCAACACCATATAGCAAGCATGCAACAACATCGAAGATGGGATGAAAAGATGCAACGCTCATCGCATCGGACCGGCCACAAACGATATCTCCCGAACGATGGCGACGGCAATCAGCACTGACAGTCGCGGTGCACCGGGCTTACATTAGTGTAGACTTTATCATTCTGCCATTGTGAATGTGCGCGCGCCTATAGATGCAGTCAGTTACGACAATTGCAAGTTCTACGAGGCCTGCATCAATGTTTGTTTTATACCCACATTCCACTCGTGACGTGAAAGGGTCGGATTGAAACATCAGCTTTCAGGCAGGAGACCTTCGTCACGGGAAAACGAGGAATCTCACGTCAAGGACCGAGTTTGAATTGTTGGTTGCGGCCTAACGAGGAACATTAAAATAAACAACACCCGCATGCTAGCAATTTGTGGCGCGCGTATCTCTCGTTTCTGACTTGCGATTTTGAGATCACCACCACCGATGGCCGACATGCACCGATCGCCCAATCTTGGCACTGCATCCATCAACGACATGCAGTTTGATTGAATGCCAAGCTCCAGTGTTTCGAACGCAGCAGCAGCAGCAGCAAAGATTTATTCTAGGCACAAAAACCTGAGTTTTATTATATTAGAGTAACATGGTTACGATGATTTGGGGGTTCTTTATTTGCCATACAGTGTCTAAGAAGCTGAAATACAAGGAGTTTTTACAAGTTCAAGTACTGAAAGTTGATTAGTGGAGAGTTTTGAGACTTAGGGCTTATCAAAACATTTTAGGTTTGGTTCTAAATCTTACGTTTCTGAAGGTGTGTGTGTGTGTTATTTATTTATTTATTTATTTTGGTTCGGTTGTGGTTTATTGATCGTTTAGAGAATGAAAATAGAATAATAGTTTGCGGTATATTGTTGGTGGACAAGAACTCACTGGTTAAAATATTGTTAATTAGTTACTGGCCATTAGAATGCACCGTCGTACCCAAAATAGCAACTAACTCTGGTGAGAAGGAATCTAGAAGTCAATGGGAATTGTGAAATCCACCAAGATTTTTGGCTCATAATCGATACAGTCTCAATTATTTGTACTGGGTCCCCAACTGTTTGTACTTGTCCTAATTAATACCTCAAGGGTGACAGATATTGTTGCCTGTTTTAGCGTACATTATTTTCTTTTTTATTGATTTTTCGTGACTTCTAATAACTTAAAATAATGCCTTGAGATTCAGTTCGCATGAAAGGTTTTATTAAATATTGAAACAGTCTTGTATTGTTCCACACCAATCACCAGTGATTTAGAGTCATTTCAAGCGCGACCAATACTCACGGCAATCTTTTTATATTTGGCGGCATCTTTTAACGGTTCTAACCTATGGTCGCTTATGATTGGAACCTATGGCATTGGGGAGAACATAAATATAAGATCATTGTTCCTCCATGTGAAGAACTTGGGTAAGTCCAAAAAAATTTCAAGCTACCTCCCTGATTTGATAGCTTTGAATCTTTGAGTTACTTAGTTGATTTTATAGCCTTGAGTTTAAGGGTGATGACAATTGGCTAAACATATATAATTGTACTGATAATACACTATCGCAATACACATGACCAAATTGAGTTAAAAAAACAAATGGTGCAAGTATGTCATCAATAAGTTTCAAATCAAAGGAGTAGGAACTAAGAAGTATAAACTTGCGCAGGATTAGAGTCGCAAAACCTGGTTTCATTTTACAACCCACGTTGAACAGTGCAAACAGAGATTGTTCAGCACGCTATGAATCAGACTTCAAATAAACCTTGAAATATAATCCAAATATCTGTTTGAATCAGACTCCAAGTAAACCTTGATGTATAATCCAAATATCTGTTTAAAGGACTTGAAACAAACCTTGAACTAGTGCACTAGATTCACTACCGATTGGCATGCAAATCATCTATCATGTTCTCTGTGTCATCAAGTTATTTCCACTTTATTACCTCTGCAATAATCTGTATCCTTTGTTAACAGATACGAAGATCTGAATATATTACTCGCTTCATCAGTATAGGTCTCTACTAGAGTTCCTAATCCAACTGCTTGGTTGTTCGAATACAGCTGGAGAAATGTGCTGTTTAGAATTGCATCAAGCTTGTTCCAGAGATCGCACATGGTGTGCGCAGACTGATGAACGCCCCAAAATGTTTTGATCGGAACTGAAAGCTTTGCACGCAACCATTGTTAGAATTGTGACGCACTGTTGGTCCATTGAGGTTGCTTCTGAAGTCCCTAAAGTGCACGACGCAACAAAAACGAAGCATCAGCTCCTCACATCATGTAGGATCGTCAAAGCGCGAAAAAGTCCAAAGTCCACTCAACTCACTGTCCGAAACCGTGTTTCACCCCTCCAAGTATCCCGTAGACACTGTACTCTCCCTGTCCACTAGACCTTTCAGGGAGTAGCTACTTCAAAGGCCCTTACGTTAACCAAAAACGATCGAATTTTCGAAACAAAATTTCCTGCGTCTCTAACCGCTTCCACACAACAGTTTCAACATTAAAACATCTTACAAACTGCAGCTGAAAGCCTCAGAAGACGATGGAAAAGCCATTGGCAGCGGGAAAACCACATTAGCCACAGTAATTGGACACTACTAAACGTAGACCACAGCTGCTGCATTTGTGGCTGCAGATGGGTGACAAAGGGAAATGAAAAGTTAGTGCTCGTGTTGAAAAAAAGGAAGCTGGCAACGACAACAAGTAGCAGGTTGGGTAGAGTTAGGACTAAAATTCGCACGCCCGACCCAATGCACCAATATGGGCCATGATGGCTGATATACATTTAGCAGCAAGTCAATAAGACGATGGCGTTGAAGAGAACTTCCAGACTGTAATAGAAGGATTAGTACAGGTCATGTTTTCCCCCTAAACCTACTAGTGAAATTCTGATACAACAATTGTTGTGAAGCCTTTTGACAACATCAAGACGCGGTGCAAGACGTAGATGCAGATTTTTTCTGTAGGTGGAGAGAGCAATCGACATGCTGTCAACATACACATAGAATTGGCCATTTTTACCAAGAATTCACTCCATGCTTAGGCAAGAAACCCTACCTGCATTGCAGAGCAGGACCACCGTCTCAGGATCCTCGTATTTAGTAGAGAGGTGTTCAAGGCACAGATGCCTCAGTAGATTGCTCAAATTTAAATACAATAATAGCGAACTGCAACAAGACCTAACAGATGTCAAACACCAACTTATGTGCTTGTAAATTTGTGATGAAATGAACAAGTATGCGTACCAAAATTTGAGCTAGTGACCATCATACCCCGTATAACTGGTAATTGCTTGCTGTGTTGTCTGATACTGATTCCACACAAACTAGAAGAATAACACACTGATTGTGTACAGGTTGAATCAACTACCAACAATATTGGGTGCTCAAAGCTACCACTGTCACGGAAGTCCCATGTATCTGTGAACCAAGCAAGCCACACCCTTAGGAATGCCTGATATACTGAATGAGTGGTACCAGCGGGTTTTTTTATGGTATCACTCAAACTGCATTGAATTTGTGAGCCAACCCAAACCTGGATTGCTCTTACGGATTGCTTGGATACTCGTGACCTGTTGTCTCCCAAGCATTGATCCTGCAATAGTTACTCTCTCGTCTTTGCTGCCTCCAGGATGAATATCCTTGGATCTAGAACCTGGTGAACCTATGATTGCCAAAGCCCCAAGTACGCTATCTACAACACTCAATACGTTGTTTTTTTTTAACCTACCATGTGGCTCACTGAGAATATCATTCCTAACGAAATTCATGGTCCCTTCTGAAGTACTACATTCACCAAGTGATGAACGTGTATCACTAGAGGTCCTTGGACTTGATAGTTCTGGTTCCGAAAGGGATAAGGACGTATCCCCGGAGCATACAGAAGAATCTACAAAGCTTTGGTCATTCTCGTCTTCATCTATGTCTCCTGCCAAACTTGTGGCAGCTTCTGCACATTTCAAAATCCAGAAAGTTGAGATGAATGAATGAATGAGTTCAAAACCAGAGACTCATCTTTAAATGCAGCAGTAGACGAGTCTACATGTTGGACACTAATATACTTGTAGATTTTCGTACACGACACATACAACGGCGATGTCGCAACATATCTTAATTGACAATAGAGCGAGCAAGGGCCAGAATTTGCTACAGCGAAAAACCGAAAATCTAGTGCTGCGAGAGAATACCAAATTCAGAAAAATAAAGACAAACCCTGCTCTCTCCGTTAACTAAACCTTGAATGTTGCGAGAAGCTTAGCATTGAGAAAAACGTTCATATAGCCAACACCTGCTAAACCGACATCAGCTTCAATGCAAATTTATTGTCAATTTAGGGATGAGAATCATCAGAAGCTGATACCGAAGCTAGAGAACCACTGGATACAGCATACCAATAGACCACCTCAAGTTGATGTGAGCTTACCACTGCTGCAGCTGCAAGACTGTGGAAGGCCGCAACTATGCGAGTTTTCACTAAAAACGAGACTCCTACTTGATCCATGGCAAAATGTGTCAACCTGAGAAAATGGCGGTAGGTTTCGATTCCATTAGTGAAGGTCAGAGATTTAATCGAATCACGTCTATTGCAAATTCCCAACACTATTTTGAAATTCGATATCACACACTGCCAAGTGCAATGGCCTAATTAACATTTAAAGATATTTAAGGACAAAAAAAGAGGGTGGGAGGAAATTCTACATGTAACATACCCAAGAGATCTACTTAACACACCAACCAGTGTTTGCTCACAAAACGAATTAGCAGCTTTACCTCTTGAACTTCTTGGTTTGTAGGCGCTTCACTCTTGAAGGTTGACGAAACATCTTCTAGAAGCAAGCGTGGACTTTCTCCAGGCAAAAGTGGATCCTCGGTTCCGCTGTACATTCTATGTCTCTTAATATTGTCGACTTGTCTTTGGAAAGCCATGCCTGCTGCGAAAAACGCAGCTGCCACAACGTCCGGTCTAGTCGGAATCTTACGCGTATATTGTTCTGACGTCAACAAGGAGAAACTTCACAAATTCAGTAACTCTGAAAAACCACTGATGGCAGAATGTTGACAACTAGGTGTTCTAAAAGAAGTAAGCCACAGTTTCTCTAGTCATTTGCCGCTGTCACTTACAATGGTTACAATAGTTAACCTTATTATTTTAAGCAATAACTATATCACCATCATGAATGAAGCACACAACCAACACACCAGGTGCATATCCCTCCAAGCTTTGTGCTGCTACATATTTGTTTAACTTCGAATTTAGTTCAATGAGGTCACCTTCCATTTCCTTCAGCATTTCAATCTGTTCATCAAAAAAGATAATATCAGATGGTAGAAAGGAGGCGATTCAAGTAATTTAGTGGACTTCTTTACTGAAAGATTAGCCAACAAAGTCAAACCGTTTCGACTTGCCTCACCTCTCTATCAACTTTATCAAGGCACAGATTTGATGGTGTGACCTGCAAGCATACCAGAATACAAGCTTCGATTGGTTATTGCTATGTCACAGGAAATTGATAGAGTGAATAATTTTTTTAGTTTCATCACTGCTCTCCGCGCTGGGTTACCTTTGAAACATAAACTCCTAATATGTAAGATATAAGATATTTAAGAATTAAAGTCAATCCATCAACCTTCTTCAGATCTAATCTTCAACAGGTAGGCTGGTTCAGAACTCCTAACTGAGGTGGAAAATTTCCTCATTTCCAGCCGTATGCTCACCTGTTTGAGAACGCTCCCGGGTAGCATTGATAGAGCCTCCTGGCCGCTTTCAGGGTTCAACTGATCTGGTGGGTACCAAAGATCCTCTAAGGATGGCCTAATTTTACTGCAATACAATTTGAAACGCTTTTAGAACTAATCACACCTCATACTACTTCAATGGTATAATTCTGAAACACAGCTGAGACATCTGGCAATCTCAGACTTCGTGAGACGATGGTACCGAAGAACACTGGTTGAATGCAATGATTCATATATACACGTTCAAGAGTTCCTACATTTGACTAGAGAAAGTCCAGAGTTTCGAATGTCCAAGATTGCAAAAGAGAAACGTTCAATCGAATCGTAATCATTTACCTTAAATCCTCGAAGTTCATATATTCTTGGTTAAGATGAAGTTGATTTGAAAACAAAGCGGACTTGGTTGAGCAGGCACATAAGACCGACATCTGTAATAATCAGAAAATTAACAAATCAAAACTCGTTCGACTCAATGTAGTCATCCATCCGAGTTCTAATATGCAATGCATTCTCTAAATATAATGTTCACATGTTGCGGATTCCAAATCAAATCTGCACTTTAATAATAGTCCTCAACGGCTAAGATGTACTGTATGTCTGATCATTGCTACAAAAGAAAATGAGAAACTGATAGAGTGAATAAACATGTTACAATTAAAGATATCCATTTTCTTACCTCCAACTTAGCTGGACTTCGAACATGTGACGGTCCACTTGAAAATAGAGGGTATTCAAGACAGATTTCAGCATCAAGGTCCTCAAAAAACTGAAGTAACACAAGAAAATACGTGAGTAACAGTAAAAGAACGATATGACAGTAGACTAGCTTAACAATAAGTAAGAAGTTAAGTCATCAAAAACCAGATGGAAGGTGAGGTCTAATATCTAGGCACTGTCTCATGAAATTGTTCAATTCTAAACAAAATTGGGACCTTCTAAAACCTTACTCATTGTGATCATTCAGTTTGACCGTGACTAAGATGGCGCCGCGTTTTAAAATCATCGTGTGATCAAGTACACGTGTAACCTTGTGTGGGAATTCTTACAGAAACTAATACTTCTGAGATGAACGAGGTAGAGAGGCACACCTCCTTAAAATCCACGGTAATATGTCCAGACAAACCAGCACTCCAATTCTGCGTGGGGAAGGCTAGGTTTGTCAAAATTGTGTTAAATGCTTTTGGCATTTTCTCACTTCCATGCAAGGAAAAGTAGATAACTCAACATCCAAAGTGTTTGGTATGATTAAGAAAATGTACCTGGTCTATAGCAGGACACATCCATCAATTGCCATTCCAGATACATGCCAGAAGCAGAGTCAGTAGCAATACATTATTGAAACCAGAAATTGCAACCTCCTGATGAGAATTCGATCAATTGAACATTAAGTGCGAAAAAAAAGGTTCGCTAAGACTTCCCATCGATGCATATAAACACAAGATTCGGTTATCCATCCGAATCCAGTTGACTCCACTTTACATTTACTTGTCACCGAACTCAAAGCATAGTTAATAGATATAAGCTCATTTCATATATCCATTCTGCTCAAAACATACTCGATAAAAAAAACATCTTAAGAACAAGGGATCCAAGCATACCTATGTACACGTGAAGCTTATCAGGCCTAGCATACGCAATTTGGCACGAGATCTGGTGATTGATGATGCATTCGTCGCCAACTACTTCAAACTCTCCAATTATCTGTTGTTCAGTTCCGTGTAGAAGAGTGATCTTCAGAAAATATGTCTGTCGAATCTTTGAAGAGCTCCCTGTGAAGTCTCCAGAATGTGGCGGGATAGGAAGACGTATCCCAGATATCCTTAAAAACTTGATACAAAAGTCAAATAGATGAGCTTTACGCGACGAAGATCTTTGCGAATCTTCACCCGATGCCATCTTCACAGGACATTGTCCTACTTGAGTGTCAAGTGTAAATAATCCACAACCTCGCATTGCCACAAGTCATAATGAATCGAGGTTGTAGTCGTCCACATTAACCTGACTTGAAGTGCCTGCCATCGCAGAATAATGTGAGAAGCATGAAGGACAAGGAGATCAAGATGCTCAGATGTGAAACTATGTCAAGAAGAACCACTGTAGCAGGTTTGCAGTGAAAAAAAATCAGATTATGCTAATCACTGCCGTCCGCAGCGTATTAAAGTCGACGACAATTTCAAAACGCCCTTAAGGAGGCTGGAGGACGTACAAGTAGAACCAGACAAAATCCCTCCCTTTCCGTAACCAAACAGTAGCATACTGCTTCGTCTCAGTTATTTCCTCAGATTTCACCTTATATGTTACATTTCTACATTTGGTTTTGGGTTTAGCCTATGGATTCTAAATTAGTAATTTGAGCATTTAGCTCGGATGATGTTCTTGTCGTCCACTGATGTACGTCACATTTGCTGAGCTCTCTCGAGCGCTTTCGGGTTAAATTGATCAAGTTTACACATGCTTGCAAGCAGACATGCAATCACTTCGTTAATTCAATGATACAGAGTGACGAAGAGACATAAAGAATGGGAACTGCTCGCGTGAAGTTCTGTAAGGCTCAACAGCTCTTATAAGACCAGTGCGAATCCCAACACACTCCACAATTTTCTTGCTCCGCGAAACCACCGAATAAAATAATATAAAATACTGCGCAGGTTCTTAGTTTTGAGAACAGGGGAGCATGATCACTTCAATAAGGATCAGATCAGAGAAGCCGTACGATCATATTATCTCTAAATAAAACTGCATATGAATGTAGGAGATGATCAAGGCACCACTGAGCTCCTTGCATCAGTTTCACGCAAGGCATTTATCTGTAACTACCTTGTACATCAGATGAGAATGAATGAAAAGATTCGTATAAACTATTTACTTTCAAAAATAAAATCACCAGACTTCGAAACTAGACTATCAGAAATCATTCAAGTCTGAAAATGAATAGTCGCCCAAGGTGGTTTAGACGTTGATAAAATCCCAGTTACTTTATTAAGTCTTTAACATGAGCGTCGTATCAATCGAGCAGCGGTAAAACTATCCAGCAGCTATCATAAGAGCCACTACATGAGATCAGAGAAGATAATAACTCTTCAGAATTCAGAAAACCTCGAGCCTGAAAACGATATTCGTTACTTGCAAAATTTACCAACAATTTGTAACCTGAGAAACACTGTGTAAAGAACAATAAATGAGAGAGGAGGCAAAAAATCTAGCTAAATTAGAAATCGAAAATATAAAATCATTTTTATTCATATTATTATAATTTTAATTAATCCCATTTTATGTGGCTCTTAAATGCAAGAATTAAAGACTGAGCACTAACATTTGAATGCCCGTACAATCGAAGCAATTTTATTAAAGTGTTCTAAAAATCTTCAAGACCACGAGTCCGAACCACACTCCACCTTACATATTCATGTTTAGCAGCTAAGAGACTAGAACCGGAAAAAACTACCTAATTCATCCAAGGAACGACGCAACGCTCATGATCAAACCGCTCAAGAATGCTTACCGTGCAATTTTCCTTAACCCTCGCCTACTCCACTCACTCCAAACTCACAAGAGTCGTTTGCTCTTCGAAAACATTTAGGATTACGGTCCACCTTCTATAACCTGAAGATTTTGAAGAATAACTGCAGAAAAAATTGGAAATACACGGAGAAGATCCAGGGGAACGCGTTAAACGTACTCGAATTTCCTCAACTGTCTCGCTGGATCTTTCTCATGCGCAATGTTCCCCCTGACGGTCCCTTCGCGCCTCCGTCATTCAACACAACAATTCAGCAAACCTCGCCGAAAACACAATCTCTCGCAACGACACACGAATTCGGAACAAGAATCATCCAGCTTGTTGCACAGATGAGTTCGCAGTTCCCGAAAGACTTCCTGTAACCTTCCCAGACAAGAATTGTTGAACCTGTCCACGTTCGAGGATGTGGAGCAGCTCTACCCTGGCGCAGATAGACGCGCTCAACATGCCCGGGAATTCATTCCCACGGGTCGCTGGTGAGGCGCCGTGAACCCTCCGATTCCACACGGTCAAATGGAGCGACAATTGCACCAACGGCATCGATGCGACGTCTCTGACGACCGGGCCCGTGCGTCCGCGTCCGTTCGATGTCGGACGGCCGCCGGCGAGGATGTGGATTAGACGGCGCAGAGAGCATGAGAAAGCGTTAACAGCGCTGCTCTTGTCTTCGGCAAAGTCGATTTCGCTTCCCCGGAATCAACTCTGTGCGCATTTTTCGGAATATCTTTTGCCTGGAACTGCAAGTGTCCTCACTGACAGAATCACGGAAACTCCCCCTCGAAGTCGGATGACTTCGTGGGATGATACCAACTACGAACATTCATCCTCCCACTTCCTTGCTTCCAGAAACTGCTCTGGATGGATGGATGGATGGGAAAAGGATGAACGGATAGAGTCTATGTGGCTGGGTTTTGGAACTGGAATCTTGGATGAGCTTTTGCTGTGTGGTGACTCCATGTGAGTGTGGTCTTGGATGCAACACCAAACATGTTTTCATACAAACAATGTGGTTGTTGTGGTGCTGGTGGGAGAGGTTATTTGCTGACTGGGTTGGGCATCTCACATGATCAGCAAGTCAAGTCAAACCCACTCTCTCACACACACACACACTCATACATTCCATGCCCAACATGTGAATGAATAAATGGGCGGGTATGTATTTTGATGTACATAAAAAAAAATAATAATAATAATAAAAACTTACAAAACCATTGGCAGTGTTGTGCTTGATATTAGGGTTGGGCTTATGCACATGCTCATATTGGTGAGTGCTCTATGCAAAAATTGAAGTTGACACAAAGGAAATGCTCATTTCAATAACTCTGTGTAGATCTGTATCTTGGCCTAATACTACTCTTTCATCATTTGTTTTAGTACTGTTGATAATGCTGTGGGTGTTGTTTTGTTTTGAGGATTTATGTGTAAAATAAATAGATTTTTTTTTTTTTATTACTTTCACATGATAAGGGTCTGGAAAATAAAATAAATTAAATTAAATTAAATATGAAATCAACCAATATCATTGCAGTTTATGACAAACCTGTATATGTATATATATATATATATATATATATATATTTAAAAATAAAGCATATACTAAATTTACAAGTATAAGTAAGATTGATAATGTATTTTATTCACTTATGTTTCAATAATTGTATTTTTGTCACACTTATGCTTCTTTTTTAAAATATTTTATACTCAGCACTTTCCATCAAAAACTTGATGAAAATTATTTATTTATTTTATGATCTACTAAAAGTCCAATGAATCCTCACACCAATGATGCATCCAATTTGGTAACTTTAGGAAAAACATCAAATCAGATAAAATCAAATCAAAGAAACTGGTAAAAATGATCTCAAAACTTCCCCCAAATTTTGTTATTCTGTTGATTGTATTGTCCATGTTATCATGCTACAAGTCAATCTTGCAAAGTTTATGATTAGTACAAGATGTAAAGGAAATTGTTTTTCTTTTTCTGTTTCTTTTTTCAAACTAGAAAAAAATGAACGTGGAACTAAGTGCTGGTTACAAAGCCTTGGAACTTCACAACATGGCTCAGATGATGGCACATCTCCCAAAAAGATTCCAACCATTCCTCAAGAACCAATTTTGCATTAAAATACACTCTTCAATGAAAGCCTTAGTGGAGAATTTGAGGAGATTGTTTCATTTTCTTTTACTCCACTTTCCTACCTCATTCTCCACTTTTGCATGAGTCCCCATGAATTGAAACCAATCAATGTGATGTTTTTATGCATCCCTTCAATTCTATCCCAGATAATTTTGTTTAGCTTTTTATCTGTGAAATTTAACTACTCTAAAAAAACAAAGAAATCTCATCCCAACTAAGAAACCACAACTCATACAATCTTGCATCTAATTCTAATCAATGGACATTTTCTTCACTTCTATTTCTTCTCAAAATATTCCAACAGTTACCATGATTATGTAAATACAATCATAAATTAATAAACATACAAAACCTCCTAATCTAACCAAAGGTTAGCATCTTGCACCCCCCCCCCCCCAAACAATCCAACCCATCAACTCATTCACACTTTCACATAAACAAAACTTTAATGTCTCTTCTCTTCTTTTACTCTCTTCCTTCAATTTTCTCATTTCAACAGGAACCCAGAGAATTATACTCTGCATCGTCAATTGTGACGGGGCGACCACACACCACAAATTTGTTTGCATGACACACCACAAGTGGAAGGGCTGGAATGGAATACGAGTTTGAGACACCATGTGAAGTTCACTTGTTGATGCAGGCTGAGGCACAAAGACAAAGTGCGGCGATGCTTCGGTTACCGTGCGTTGCAGCACTATCTTCGGATGTATCGGTAATGACATTGATTAGGTTACTATTCCTAGAGGAGTTGGCTGCTGTCTTTTCGCGACTACAGGGTCAAACTTCACACCGTCAGAAAAACCACACGTACACCGTTTGATATTTAATTCAAGGAATCTTAGTGAATCCCTTTATTTAGTGGTTTCGTTTTGTCTTCAGAGTTGTTTCCTCTTCAGCTCGGTGAGGGAGGTGCGAGAGTGAGGACAACTTGGCCGAGGTTCTCAGGATGGAGATGCATCTCAATCTCACACTTGAGAATTATCTTCAGGACTTGGGGTCCGACACATCGAGCTCAGCGCACGGTGTGGGTTGTGGGCCATTGCAGCAGTACCCCTGTGAATTCAAGCGTCCTGACTGCGAGATCATGTCCAACTTGCAGGAGGGGAAACTTGAGAAGTTGGAGATGAAATTGTTTTTCTTACCAAACCAAGGTAACGAAAAAGCACGGCACTGAACAGGGGGCAGCTTTATGTCAGAATGGGTCCCATGCTGCAGCAAGCAGAATGTGGACAAAAGACAAAGGCATTCAACAAGTTCCAAATATTAAAAGCTACGCTGCGAATCTCACGTACATATGGCACACCGCGGTTTGACAAATTGCAGTTGTCATTATCTTATTAATCTTCGACATCACGTCGTACACTATCTACTCATTTTTAATTATCATATATCACTGAGGCAAAATCCTCAATTTTCCATCACGTTGTTTCACACATCTCAATGATGGAGTGTGCGTCGATTTCGGAACATGTGGCGTACCAGCAAGAGTCTTGGCAACACATGGGGATTCGCCACGCCAGCGGCAGCTCTATTTTAGACGCATCAAGGCTCCAGTTCATCTACTGAAGCAGGACTTCGACATCCTCAAACAAAGCGCAATGTAAAGCCCAATACATATTTTAGACTCATGTCAAAACACTCCGGCTAACAGCGACTCGCAAGTATCCATTTCATTTTCCCATGCTGAGCGCGATAGTAGTATATATTCGGAAGAGAATTTTATGAAATGACGGAAAGAAAGGGGGGTTTGGGGGAGGAAGCAGAAACTTTTCTCTCCACATCGCACTCACATACACTATGCTGCCCATTGTTCGATGTGCACCGAGTTCATCAAAAACATTGTACACGCAGCAGCACATATTTGGAACCTAGCGTTTTCTTTTTGTGTATTTTCGTAATTCATTTACACCAGTAGATGGATGGAGTGGTGATGGCGTTTAGCGGATCAAGCAAGGTCTTCATTCTTCCCTCCGTTGCGGGTTGTGTGTTTGCTGCGCTGGACTTGAAACAAGTTTCAGAAAGTTGATCCACTCCATTTTATAGAGGAAATTCGAGTACCTGCAATATTCAAGCTCAAGTGGACGTTGAGCCCAGGAGAGTACCAGTACTACAGGTATAATGTCTCAGATGGGGTGAATCATATCGACGATGCTTGTCTATTATATCAGGACAAAAAGCTGGTAGGGCTTTACTTCTTGCTGTCGCTGGCTGAGGATCTCGGCGGGGAGCCTTTTTGGGAAACCCTCACCTCTAAAATGTTTTTCTTACAGTGTTAACACAGCAGGTGCAAAGGCTAGAAACACCATGGAGAGCACAAGCATTGCCTGGATTGTTCTCCAAGCTATCCGAAGCTGGGAAGACGAGGAAGGTACACATTACGTCATCTGATTGCGAAGGAATTTAGGAGTTTATATTAGAAGAAACCGAAAACCGTTAGTATTCTATCATCCTAAGTTAGCAATGAATATAACACGGCCAGCATCTGCCACTAGCATTCTTTCTTCGCCTTACCAGCCCGCACCGATTTCATCACTGAAGAGTCACAGACAACGTGTCAGGAGTTATTTACCTGCAAGGAAATATTTTGGAGAAGGAGAAGGCATTTCTACATTTTCTTGCTGGGAGATATCTTGCTCCCATCTCCACATCAGGTGCTTTTGAAGGCATCCCTAAAGAGAACGGATTCGACTGCTGAGTACGATTTCTATGTCGGCAGGTATGCCTTCAAGCTTGAGGCCATTGAAATTCGCGTGAAGAGTCCTTGTTGCCTGGATTTCTTCGCACGTCTTACTTGCGGTTATGAGTTTTAAGGAATTTTGATATTCAAAGAGTAGCGGTTCTGAAGTGGCTGTTTTGTCAGTCTCTGAAATTTGTTACCGAACAAATCCTTGTTCATTAATGGCTTTCAGCCATTGTGAGGATGACCTCAGTATTGTTCAACATTCACCTTGGTTTCCAGCTTGGGAAGAAGATTGAGCTCTTCGAAATTTTCTACTATGCATTGTCGCTATGCTTATGGAGTAGAGCCTGAACTTCTCGTGTTTCCAGAGCTTTGAGATGTGATGTAGTTGCTGATGAGAGCTTATCTTGGCTTCTTGAGCAGCATGAAAAAGAATCACCTTCTCCTTATAGACTTGAGGCTATTTCGTGAAGTGGCCTAGAAGTTTCCTAAGAAAAGGGACACCTCTGGGTCCCTCCGTGGTTGTGTTTCTACTTGGTAAGGATCCACTCTCTTAATACCTCTGAACTGAAAGAAATTTCCTCTCTTTAACTAGTATAGGTTGGGGGGAGACATCGTTCCCCTCAAGTTTGAGAAGTCATTACAGGACCAACATATTTTCCATTTCCAAATTCACCATGTAATCCCAATTCATCATGAAGGGTGCTTCGGAGGGTGACTTCAAGGGGTCGCTGTTTTCATGAGAAATATTTCTGGTTATGCCCTCCATCTAAGGCTTTACAGCTATTGCGAATCACCTCTGATACTGTGAAGGATTAACAATTAGAGATACCCCTTCAGGAAGATTCGCCTCAATCTTCTAGGACGTTCGGTGAGCATGAAATGAGTTCCAAATTTGCATCTTGGATAAAAAGATCCCCGTCGTGGTGCTTGACGCTAAAATCCTGTTCTATACCCTGGAAATCTTAGGTGAATAGCACAAAAAGCACCTATTAGCCTAGACGAGTGCCATCTTTAGGAGATGTAGATAACCTAATAAAGAACACTAAAAGTTTGGTTCAAACAACTTACAATTTTACGCATATTTAACACTGTTGACCTCCATTCGGCTTATTGAGGTCATCAGGTGTTTCTCACTCGTCCTTTCCATTACATTGATGTATGCTTCCACAAACTGCGTCTATCCACCCTCAAGAATGCCGACGCTACAATAATTCACAGGAGATTTTGAGAGAGAGATACTTGCATAGAGAGAGGTCGATACACGTAACCCATCTTGGAGTCATGCACAACTGTAACAACGTAGGCAGTAGATTATCAGCTGTCAATGCTAAATCATCACTAACCTACAGATTATGTCCTTTATTACTGCATGTATTATCTATATTTGTTGGCATAACCTCTCATAGGAATGGACGAAAGGTCACATTCATTCATCTATTACAACAGTAACCCCAGTACTTTGCTGTTTATAAAGGTAGACCTGTTTTAGGTCAAGTTAAGTTGGATATATCTTGCGTTATTTTGTTCCCACATGGTATCAGAGCATGCTAGGTCTAGAACTCTTAGTCTCTATGTACTAATTGCACATTAGTAGTTCCTCAAGTGATATTGTAGTAAATATTATAGAATATCTTTGATCTGATATTGCATACTATTATTCTATTTGCACAACTCTAGTCTACCTTATACTTCTATCTCTTCTTTCAAATAGGTACTATGAATATTGTTGTTTCTAAAGAAGTAATGTTGTTGTTTTCAAAGTCAATACTATGTAATATTTTCCTTTGCAAAGACTTTTGGAATATAATTGGAGAAGCATTGCCATCATCTCCACTAATCCAATCATCTCGACTAATCCAAGGGGATACAACATCCAAGACTACATGCTCGTCCACTCTTCCACTCAAGGTTTTGACTCCTTTGATACTAATGAACCCTCTACTCCATAGTCAACTTCAATCAATAGGCCCACACAAGACTATGCATGACTTTGGCTAAAACAATAGCAAACATCTTCCATCATTAAGCTCTCTTTGCAATCCATATTGCACGTTTTTGTAGAAGACATCATGGATCTGAGCATCTCTTAGAATAAATTAGCAAGCACATATTGTACCAATACCATTGCTAAGACAATGGTGGTGTTAAATAAATGAAAAGATCTTTGCATGTCCAAAAACATGGATGTCATGACGTTTACAACTTGGATATATAGCATTCAATGCGAGCTAATCAACATTGGCCATCTACAAAATAATGTTGTTATTATCTACAAAATCTTTAATTGATTGCTTCATTACTTTAGTTTACTTGCTTGCTAGATTTATAATAAGTAGCATATTCTTTCTCTCAAAGAACTTAATATACAACTTCAAATAGAAGAGCATCACTTGTCACTACAACAAATTGAGTTTGAAAATGCCCTCATTATACAACTTGAAAATCTTGTTAACAAGTGATACTTGGTGCCACACTAACAAAGGCCATACAATTTTTTGTCTCATAGTTAGATTAGTCCCAACACTTTTCTCTATACTTGCTAAAGGAATTGGAGACACACATCTAGATATTTTTCAACATCAAGTCCTTTATATACTAAACCACCATCATGTTTTTAATCAATATTACAACTATTCACTTCCTGTGTTCAATCAAATATTAATATGGTGGAACAATCAAATTCTTTGATAAATTCCATTATGAAGAACTTTTAGAGGCAACTCTTGATACTCTTACATTACAAGAGATGGAATCTGAGTGGATCTTTGATTTGGATGCTTTGGCCTATTTTTTAAGAGACAAAAATGCTTTTTAGTATCTAGTTCCATCTAATTCACTATCCATGACATTCTTTAAAGAAAATGCTCATAGAATCTAAAGACAAGAAACAACACATGTTTGTCTTCTTTTGAAAGAACTAAAAACTATCAAAGATGTCAAATCATTCCTAGGCTTCATTGCAATATTTTATCTATTAAAAAACTCATAGATGAAGGACATATTATTGTATTCAATTAATCTTCTTGTATTATCTTAACTTGAATAAAACCATATACTTCCCTTGCCTTAAGACGACAAAATAATAGAATAGTGCTATATAAACTTTTTATGTTTATTGATGGATATAAAATCAAAATTTACTCATTCTCATAAAGATTGAAATTTTGTTGGACTATTTGAACTATTGCATAATTAACTTTGTATGACTTGTCTCAAAGGCAAGTAAACTTGCAAAGAATTTCTAAAATGTACAATTCATTAGATAACTACATTACTTGCCTTCATCCACACCAATTTATGTAATTCTTATCTAGTTCCTTCATTAGATAAGTTACACTATTTTTTTCTCTTGACTAATGATTGTAGCTCAAAATCTTGGATTTACTTTCTAAACTTAAAAATAAATAATCTTGATAAATTTAAAGACTTTTATATTATGATTGAATAACAAAGTGGTTGCAAGTTGCTATGGCTGTGCTTTGATAGAGGCGGGGAATTTACCAACAATAAATTCACCACATATCTCAACCACCATGGAATATTATGGGACCTTTTTACTATTTATACTTTCTAATAAAATAAGGTTGGTGATCAAAAAAATAGGACAATAATAAATAAAATCTGCTCCATATTGATTGTTGGATGGCTATTCATATTTCTATGGATTGAGACAATACAAATGGCAGTCCAATTAATAAATTCTACATTGACTACAAATTAGTATGATATGCCAGAAGAGGTTTTTACTGGCATCAAATCAAATTCAGAGCACCTTTGTGTTTTTAGATGTATTGCCCAAATACACCATATTGGGGCCGGCAAATCATCTTTATGATCCATTATAAGTAAATATCTTAGCAATGAGTTGGAATCAAAGGCTTATTGAGTGTGAATTTCTACCTTGCAATAAATTCTCATTACTTGTCATATAATTTTTGATGAACATTATTTTTTGAATGCCTTAAAATAAACTCTATATTCTCTGATGTCAAGACTTCAATACAATCTTCTCTTGATTTTGAATTGCCTAGTCTCTTCGATATTTTATTGCCACCATAAATGTACTCTCTGCACCTTTCACCTCATCAACAAGAACACATTTACCAAACAAGCAGTCTGTACATGCAAATATCTCTATATTAAATCTTCCAATTACTTTGTTTAGTACTAGCATTGAACCATTATGCAATTGCTCAAACACACAAAATATTTTCTAAATCCCACTTGTTATCAATATTCTATTAATAATATGGATTCATGGCCTTCTTCCATTTTCTTTGATAATCAAATGTCACCTCTAGAAGATATAGAGCTCCACAATAAAACCAATAGTTCATTAACAGTACAAAAAATTATGAATCAAAGTAGACAATCACAACATTTCTTTGCATAACTTAAGTAATATTTTGTTGGATTGTGTGAGCTATCAATAGAATTGAAATTTTTTTAACAAGCAATCATATAATCCAATTAGACTCAAGCCATATAAGAAGAAATATCATCAATCCATAAAAACGATATATAGACTCTCATTGAATTACCTCATAGAAAATCACCTATTAGCACCAGATGGATTTTAAAGAAAAAACTTAAGAATGATGGAATCTTATAAAAATACAAAGCTAAATTAGTAGCTAGAGATTTTGAGCAATGAATAAAAATAGATTATAAAAATAATTTTACATCCATTGTTAAATGAAAAACTATTTGATTATTATTAGGCCTTACTGCACAAAGAAATTGGCCATTATATCATATGGATGTCAAAATAAAATTCTTATATGGAAATCTAGAAAAAAAAATATTTATTATACAACTTGAAGGGTTTGAAATTAAAGGCAAAGACCATTTGATATATTGTCTACACAAAGAATTATATGGACTTTAATAAGTACCAAAACAATGGTATAAGAAAATAGATACTTTCTTCTAAGAACAAGGATTTACAAAAAGATAAGATGATTATAACCTATATAAAATTGAATACAAAAAAAATATTGCTTCTTGTTCTATACGTTGATGATCTCTTCTTTACAAGAAATTACTTAAATTAGATCTAATGGTTCAAACAATAACTCAAATCTTGTATTGAAATGTCAAAACTAGGTGCAAGAGATATGACCTTATTTTTTAAAATAAAATATATACAAGTCCCAAAAAGAAATTTTTTCACTTGAAGAGCTTATCTTATTTAAACACTAAAACTATTTGATATGACATATTATCAACTTGCCAACCACTACATACCATTTTGTGATCTAAAACTATATCGATCACTTGTTGGAAAATTAATTCAATTTCAACACACTTGTTTTGACATATCCTACACCATAGGGATCTATAATAGATTTATAGCAAGACCTCAAATTCTTCATCTTCAAGGTGTTAAATGATTATTGATATTAAAAGATATTAAAAGATTTTAAATTTATTATTAATGCTAGATGCTCATCTTTACATCCTAGGTTATGTAAATGCTTACTTGGTAGGAGATCTTGAAGACAAAACATCAACAACAGATTTTGTTTATAGTCTTGGCCAAACACTTATAACTTGGATGTCAAAGAAACAACAAATAGTTGCCTTCAGCTCTAATAAGGTTGAATACATGGCTCTTTCTATAGCAACAAGAAAAGCAACTTGGCTAAAAAAATTAACGAATGATCTTGATCTTGAAATAAATCAACCAATTACCATTTGTTGTGATAATAAAGCCAATATGACAATGGCAACCAATCCACATATAAATCAACATACAAAACATATTACAACACATTACCATTTCATTTGTAAAAGGATCAGAAGTGGAGATATATACCTTCAATTTGTTCTATCTATAGAACAAAATGCAGATTTCTTCATCAATCCCTTAAGAAACTCTTTATTTCAAAAATTCAAATAAAGAATCTAATTATGCAACTATCATGATATTGCTACTCCAACCACAGTACATTAAAACTAACTATCTAGCTTGATACAGACATCAGTGAAGAGTGGCTTTCACCCTCCACATATCTACATTGCAAATAGCAGCCAATTGTTCAACATAACCCTTTTGATTACAAAGCCACTGCTCTTGTTCCGACATGAAGTTTTTCCACAAACAACACACTTTCCTCAAATTATATTGCAATTTGTACAGATCATCTGAACGATTTAGATCTTCAATCAACCAAGGAACAATCACATTGGTTAGCTTCTCCTTCGACACGGAACACAAATCGAGAGCTCCCTTCTCGATTTCTTCCAAAGCGCTTTTAAGAACATCTTTTTCTGTGACGAAACTACTCACCTCCTTTTCAATTTTTGCATTCAATTTTTGCTTCTAAATTTCTCTAACCATATCAACTCTAAAATCAATCGTCTTCTGGATCCTAGGATCAACACTCTGATCAAACGCACTGGAGCTTAGGCACACACTCTATGCAACCTCATTCACAGGATGTGAAGATACCAAACAGTTCAAAACACAATCACTAGATGCTTTCTATGTTTGTCCCGCTCAACACTCAGGATAAGGGAACACACCTTCTCTTCCGCAAAACCAAAACAAGGAAATCAAATTCCACAATCCAACACCAACGCTACTCAAGTATTATCGTAATCATCACCGACCTCTCAATCATTAATAGTAATGACATAAGTATAACTACAAACCAGTGAATCTCCATAGCTTAGTCTACCGCTCATATTAGAATAGTCACAATGTTGATACAATTTTTTGTAGTCCTTTGCGTTCTCTATAGTTCCAGAGTAAGGGGGCATGTTGGCATAACCTCTCATAGGAATGGACAAAAGGTCACATTCATTCATCTATGACAACAGTAATACTGATACTTTGCCATACATAAGTGCAGACCTATTCTAGGTGAAGTTAAGTTGAATATATCTTACGTTATTCTGTTCCCACAATATTAATATGTGTTATAATTTTAATTTTTAAATCTCTTTTAACAAACATAATGTTTTACAATTATTAGCTGATAGATTTTAAAGTTGTAACACAGTTTTCAAAAGTAAATTACATATAATTTTTAAAAAATCAGATAAAATTATTCATTATATTATAATATGTGGTTGGAATTTTTTGAATAATTTAATAAAAAGCCAAAGATTTACAAATAAACAAACCAATAACACAGCCATAAAATTAAAAAAATATAATAAACTTAAAATGTATGATAAGGATTGAAAGTTGAGCTATTGAGTACAATTTAATGCAAATTCGTTACTTATGAAATGAAAAGCTATTAACCGCTGATTTCATTACTAAATCTTGAATTCTAAAACCGTATGTGAAAAATGCGGTTAAAAAATGCTCTCAAATAATCATGATTCAAATTATACATTGATACGTTATCAGGTTAAAGTTATTCACTTCTTTATTTTCTTAACTGCAGAGTTTTTAATTTGATTTGAACATTTATTCTGCAACAATCTATATTTCCAATTCACAGATAATGTGTATTCAAAACCCTCAGTTTGTTGAATCCAAATATAACTTGCATAGTTTCAGAATGACAGAATTGCCACATAATCATAAAACTTCTGAAGGGGAAAACTAATATTTATCACACAAACTTTACAGTGACTTCTTTTCTGTTTTCTAATCTCTCAGAAATGGGACTACTTATCAAAGTCTGAGTGTTACTGAGCTGCTCTTTGTGGGCCACTTAGGTTGTTGAGGGTTGTTCGAGTTGGGTTTGAGGAAAGAAGACAGTGTGCGAATGGTCATTTGACTATACGAATCACAAGTATTTCAACTCGAGCTTTTCTAGTATACATCCTACACCTCCATTTTAATTTACCACCTTTCTTAGGCTTAGAATATTGATGAGAATTTATCCTTCGGCGTCATTGCACTTGATCGTTACAGGACAATGTGTCAGGATTGAAGGTCTGGATAGAAGCTGTCAAATTCACTCTCAGCCTCAAGGAACGCATTCACGCCTCATTTTCCTCCGTCGGTGTATCAACTGGCCACGTTGGAGGAGAACGTCAGGTAATTCTGTAGTTATTGTTATCACTTGCATTATTTGATTCTATCTACAAGAGAACATTTGTTGTCCAGTTTTCTGAAGTTTCTAAAGTTGATTCATTTCTTCTCTACTTGTCTGAAGATTGAGGTTGATGGAATCTAACGTGTTTAATTACGTCTCTTAAGTTTGTGATTGGTTTGAGGATGCGTGCAATCCCAGTTTATGACATTCTACTCCGTATATTAAGAATCTAAAACTCTCGTGGAGGAGCTAGCTTGCTCATGAGGATATTATGATGTGGGTGTCAATCGGATCCTTACACCTAGGAGTGATTTATGGTCCTTGGACAAAAACTAAATGAAACTCTTCAGCTGAGTTGGGACGTGCCCTTCTCACCCTTTCTGTGCATGTCGTGAGATAGTCCATTCCATTCATTGGTTGGTGTAAGTATTAGCTGAAGGGTCCAGTTTTATTGTTGCAATTTTACTGGGACAAATGTTTTGCTATGACTTATGAATACCTCTGTATAAAAATGAATACCAAGTAGCCTTAGATGTGGTGATGTTATTCAATTTAAGTATGATCCAAGCTTTTGTTAACTCTGATCCAAAAAGAAGTTTAGGTTTTGAATGTTTGCTATATTCAACGTCTTTTCAATATTTACATTTTATTGCAAATTTAAAGCGTCTTAAAATCAAAACTAGCTTCATAAACGATTGTATTCATTCGTTTTCCTTAAGATGGGTTTGTATTCCTTGAGCTTTCTACGTAGGTTTTGATTATGATTATGGCATTTTCATCGAATATTGAGGAAATTACAGTTACGATCCTTTCCTTGAGGATTGGCAGAATACTTCATATAGGCGATTGTAGCAGTATCGATCACACAGATTTGCACCAGAATAGGAGTACCTACTCCACAAATATTGGATGCATTCAAAAACGCCACCTTTTAACTTCAGTTTTACAACACTTGTCTGTTTCAAAACGAGGGTTTCAGAGCGCGGGTCTTCAAAGGTAGACAGCATTCAATGTCCCCGAGCCTAATAATGAGTGAAGAGTGTCAGCGATTGAAGTTGCAATCTATTTGAAGTCGGTATTTCATGCAATGAAAACAGCCAAGTCCTGTCTCTGAAGCAAGTGATAGTGGACAAAATGATGTCCTGAAGTTTCAAATTATCAATATGGGGTTTCAGCCTGGTTCAAAAGCAAATACTACTCTTCACTCGCACGAATACGACAGGACCGAGGCTTGCTTTTATAGGTGACCTTTGGGAAAGGGAGACTGTGGCAATAAGCAGCTATTCTAGTGTCGATGGGCACTGCATTTGGTTAGGGCGACGGCTTTATTAGCATGAAAGCACTATTGGCCACTCATGACGTATGGGTGAGCTCAACTGTGGTGAAGCATCAATTAGTAAGCCATGCTGCACCTCTTGGCACAAACCAAGTCCAAGGAGGGGTTGACGTTGCCCGAAACACTCTTCATGATCTTTTGGATTTCCTTCTCAGACAATCCGGTGGTGGCGCGGATGGCACTGAGTGGCAGCCTGAAGAATGTGGAGGCTGTTGTTTGGGTTCCTGGGTCTCGGTTGGGGAAGGAAGCAATGAACTGTGCCTGTTTGCACCCCAAGTTCTGAGCGAAATGGATCACACCTGGCAGCACAAATGGGTGGGTCCACCGGCAGACAACACAACACAACACAAGCCTAATTAGTAGCTGCAAGATGCAAGTCCGGGCCACATGCAAAATCAAGCAATTGAAAGGAGGGATTGATGATCCTGCACAATATCAAAGACGGGTTGATTCCTCATCAGTTTGAGCCAATTCACCTTGTGGAACAATGACGGTTTGACCCTTTGTAGCATTTCCTCCAATGAAGGGCCGTCCCCCATTCTCTTCCGCAAACCCGAACAACAGTTCACCTGGTTCATTCATCACGCTTGTGGAGATCAGTGATGGCTTTCTTCTGCAGCCGATTCTCCACAGCTGATAGTCATTGCAACATTTAAGATTTGCAGCCTGAAGCTCTCTTGGAAATAACATTGAGCTTGTGTGAGCAGGGACGCCTTTCAACTACATGCGCACATCGATGGGAAGGATGAGCACATACCCTCGGTGATGTGAGAGATTTCAGTCGCGCGAGGATGATTGTGTGGCTGGTTGATCGCGCAAGGTCCAACCTTAACCAAATTCTGGGCTGCTCCTTCACCCGGAAGCGTGGCCAAAGAAGGGTTGACGTTCACGAACATAGTCCTGAGATCTCCCCATACCGTCTTCTCGGTTACCGTCTCAAACTTGTATATGAAGCCAGCGGCTGTGAACAACGACCTTTGCCTCACCTCCGGAATGAAGTCCAGGTCGTTCATGTCAAGCGTAGTTTGAGCACTGCAGAGAGATATGGACAGAGCAGCTAGTAACAAGCTGAAAGCTTTCATGGTGGTCATCTTCCTTCCTCTCTTATCTGAGCTGCAAAGAGACGGCTATCAAAGAGTGCAGATCTCTAGCACACAACGAAGAGGCAGTATCAACCGTAACACAATTCTCTGCTCCAAGTGACAAGATAGTGAACTGATTGTTACATGGTTGAATGACCCTCAGAAGAGATGCCTTATATACATACAGCATTGCCACGGTTTGAACATATTGTTGGAGTCCAGGAACGTGCTGAGTTGTCGAGAAGTTTTATTTATCTGCTCTAGTTGAGATGATCATTACCGCCAAGACCAAGCCATACAACCCAAGTACTGACGCGAATTTCTTGCACTTCTGTCAGCTTTTGAATACGAACAATAGGATGACCTAAGCGTCGCCGTTCGATCTTTGCACCTCGAAACATGGAGACAGGTTCCAAATAATCAACGAACAGCGTATTTTAACATGTTTTCGATGTAAAATATGTAGAAGACGCCTCGCGTGTTCGCATCGTAAGACGCATCAAACAGCACAATGACCTAAGGTCGTTCTGCAATCTCTGCGTAGGTCAATTTTTCAACGAGCATCCGATGAAGTATACAGCATGACAAATATGGGTCTTCGACATAAAAAAAAACACATTTAATACATTCCCAGCTACTCTATTGCGGTACCTAGAATATCTCTCAGCCCGTTTACCACATCTGAAATAATGAAAAGTTGAAGGATCCGGCGACGATGAAATGTCCCGTATGATGAGTTTGATCCGAATATCAGCAAACTCGTTTGGCTTGTGGCATCTCCAAGTAGCCAGGCACCAGCACGAACTTGTGGTTTTTATTTAGTAATTTGAGATGGACAAGAATCCTGTTTGCATATTACTCCAATTGATGCATACAAAAGGGCACATGAAAACCCAGCGGGCTGGTTTCTAGAAGACCATCAGCTGTAATGTGCGTATCTAAAACCCCTTGGTTGAACTACTAGTCTTCTACTAGAATTGCAATGAAATGACCCATTTGAAACTGTTGAGATCATTAAATGTAGCCAGTGCTCTCCATAATATTTATTGTAGACTATAGTAAATACTATAACTATAGTATTTAGAGTTTGGTGGAGAAGTATTGTATATCCTCTTCCCTTTTCTCTTCTTATATACGAGACACAACCAAATCAATAGATTTTTTATGTGTGAAGCTCTCTCTCCTTAGAAACCCTCTTGTCTGTATGACTTACTACTACTCTTGTGTGTCTTTCTAAACATTCTCAACACATTATCAGTACGACTCTCTTCTCTTCTATACACTATCACAATTTTTTTTTTTGCTCTAATCTTGACTCTTCAAACTTGTTGCTACTCTGGCTCAATGTTTGCCTCATGATCTTGTTCCTCTTCTTGCTGGCCCTTCACACATTAGCTACTTGCTTAGAGCACTTGTTCCACTCTCTGTCGTGCTTGCTTAGAATACTTGTTTAGAATACTTGATCTAACCCAACTCCACTCCAGCTTGCTCCTTGCTCCCTGCTAATCCCCGTGCCTGCCACCAAACTGCCACCAAATAGCCACCGAGCTGCCGCCAAACCCGCCAATGCCGCCGTAGCTGCCGCCTTAACACCGCTGTCATTGCTGTTGCTATTGCTACTACCGCCACCGTCATTGCTGCCGCCGTTGTCTGTTGCTCCCTGCTGCTGCCCAACGTTGCCACCCTACTGTTGCCTGCTGCCGCCATCTTATTGTTGTTCTGCTGCCTTAATCCACAACCTCTTTTTTAAAAAAAATAAAAAACATTATATATATATATTTTTTCAAGTTCAAATTTATCATTTTATTTGACTTTATATTTTAAGGTACGTTTTATTCAACTTTTCTACTTATTCTTGTATTTTCTTTGCAGATTTATTTATAATGAGTGCTTCAACATCTTCAACTACTTCTACTATAGTTTCAACTATTATTAGAGCATTTCAATACTTTCAAGCTCTTTTATTTCTACCATTGACTGTGGATGGAAACAATTATCTATTATGGGCAAAAATGACAAAAGTAAATTTATTTGTAGAATAACTCTCAAATGCCATTATATTTGAAGAATTTCTTACAATAAGTATTTTTATACCTCCTGCTATTTGTTGGAAAGCACTTCTTCTGCTTTGTCGTCATCTTGTACCTGCATTACAACATCAATATTTAAAAATTGAAGATCTTGTAGAACTTTGGAAGAATCTTAAATCCAGGTTTGATCATCAAAAGACCATTTTTCTTCCACATGCACATCATAATTGGACACATTTATGTGTCTTGGATTTTCCAAATTTAAATGCTTTCAATAGTGAAATGTATAGTATTGTCTCACAATTACGATTATATGGACAAAGCATTTCTGAAGAAGAAATGATTGAGAAAACTCTCTCTTCATTTCCTCCTGTATCTACTGTGCTTGCACAACAATACATGAACATGAAATTTCAGAGTCATTCTGATGTCATGTCCTATCTACTTCTTTTGGAGAAGCAAAATGAGCTACTCTTGTGCAATGCGGAAGCTTGTCCTATTGGAACTACAATTTCAGAATTTCATGCACTTAATATTTCAAAGTCTAAGAAGAAATTATATAAACATGGGAAACATGCTCATAAGTATCATGGTAGTCATAGTCATGACCATTTCTATCCACATGGAAAGAATAAACGTTCTACTATTAATTATAGTAGAAAACAAAAATCAGAGATGCGTTCTTGCCATAAGTGTGGAATGATTGGACATTTAGTATATGCGTACCGTACTTCAAAATATTTTATTAAAATACTCCAAAAAAATAAGAAAGTGCGAGTTGAGGCTCGTGAAGTTCATACCATGGATGCATCCATGGATTCAATTGGTATTGATGACTTAGAGGCTTATATGAATGATAGAACCTCTAATGATGAATCGAATGATGCGTTCATTGATTCTGCAACAACACATACTATCTTGCGAGATAGACGATTTTTTATTGAAAAATCTTCAACTTGGCAAACTAAAAATATGATGACCATAGCTGGAGCAAATGCGTTTTATTTCCAAGAGGGCACAACAATGGTAAAATTACCTACGGGTTCTACCATAAAATATAAACATGCGATATTTGCACCCTTAGCATCTTGGAGTGTGATCAACTACTGAGATATGCATATTAATGGTTATCACCTCTCGACTGCCACTTTAAATAGAAAAGAGGTTTTGGTTCTTGCGAAGAACGATAAAGTTGTTGAAAAAGCTTTTGCTACAAAAAATGGTTTATACCGAATTGTGATTCTGCCTCCCATTATATTTAATTTTGCATCATCTATCACAAAGAGTCGTGTTTCTCTCTAGCATGGATGACTGGGACATCCAGGATCCACATTATTTACAAAAATCATTCCATGTATAATTGGGCACAATTTAAAGCCTGCGGATGTAGATTCTATGGAATTATGTTGTGCATGCATGCAAGAAGGAGTATCCAATCAACAAAGAAATAAACTACTCATATTTGAAGTACTAGAAATATTTACAATGAATCCCAATCTTAGGATATTTTTGGCAGAAACTGAAGTTGCTAAGATTTTGCATCTAAAACGGATCGTGGATGAATCACCTGATGATTTCATTGATGTACCTAGAATTACAAGAGTTCCTATTAATGAGACTTAGAATGCATCTGTTCAGATTGTAGTGCCATTGACTACAATATCTCAAGTTATAACAACAATAACTAAAAGAACTCGTGGACCAGATAAGCAACCACATAAGAAGAAAGCTATAAAATTGACTAATCTTAATATTATTTCTCAAGAAATTGCCACTCATCTTACAAGACTACCAATTCATGATGATATATCCATGCATAATGTATCTTCAATTCCTATGAAAAACAATCTTGGAATTGGAAGGAATAAGAACAAGTTGAGTAAAGAATTATCTATTCTGTATTGTGCTACACATGATATTTGGAACATACCATCTATTACGATAGATGAATCATTTGCATATATGATTATAGAAGTCCTTTCTTGTGAGGAAGACAAACTTGAACCTCAAACCATCGAGGAGACGATGCGTTGCTCAGATTGGTCAAAATAAAAAATTGCTATTAAGGAGGAGTATCCTTCTTTGCATAAGAGGAAAGTCTTTGGTCTAATTGTAGACACTCTTACATCTCGCCATGTGGGATATAAAATGGTATTAATATGTAAGCAAGATGCTCAAGGCCAAATAATCCGCTATGAAGCTCGTCTTGTTGCTCAAAGATTTATTCAATGATTTGGCATTGATTATGAATCCACATATTCTTCAATCATGGATTCAATTATATTTTGATATATTATTAGAATGACAGTTCATGTCACTCTTGAGATGTATCTGATGGATGTAATAAGTGCATATCTATATGGTTCTCTTGATGCAAATATTTATATAAAAGTTCCACTTGGCTTAGAAATAGGAACTTCAAATCGACCCGCTTTAGGACAATATCGTGGTATTAAATTATGTAAGGCCTTATATGATTTAAAACAATCCAAACACAAGTGGTATCAATGACTTTGAGATTATTTAATTACAAATAATTTTATAAGTGATCCACTAATCCCTTATTTGTTTATCAAACGAGATAAAATTGGTTTTGTGATCATCGCTGTATATATTGATGATCTTAACCTAGTGGACACTACATCTGCATGTGTTACAGCTACTAATCTACTAATATGTGAATTTGAGATGAAAATTCTAGGAAAAATAACTTTTTACATTGGTCTTTAGATTATGCATCTAACAGATAGTAGCATTTTTTTTCTACCAACTAACGTATATTAGACGAATCTTGCAAAGATTTAATATGAATGATGCTTATCCATTGTCTACACCAATGGCTAGACGTGGTCATAATGGTCATGATCCATACCGTCCATATAAGGAAGAAGAAGAAATATTGAGAGATCAATATCCATACCTCGTAGCGGTTGGAGCACTTTTGTATTTAGCTACATCTTCAAGACTAGATATTACATTTGCAGTTAGTGTTCT